CTCTCTGTCTCTTTCTGTTGAGTGCACACACCCTATAGCAAAAACCTCTCAAAAAAAAAAAAAGGTACAGCCAGGTGGTGTGGTAGTAAAGGCAGCTGGAACCCACATGATAAAGTGCATGGTTTAAGTCCCAGACTCAGCAGCTTGGAAAACACACTGGGCGCGTGTGTGTGAGTGCCCAAAATCTCAAGAGGAGAATGGAGAAAGGACTGTGTGTGGCCATACCCCCTTGGGGAGTGACATCTCACTTTCCCTCTCTCCCTCTCTCCAGGGAGCACACATAGTCTATAGCAAAAAAACAACTAAAGAGTTTATTTTTTCCATGAGTGATGGAGGGTAGAGGAGAGAGACAGCACTAGCAGTACCCTGACATTAAGATCCCCCCAGCCTTCGATCAGCCCTGGTCATGGGCTAGTGTGTGCCTAGGGTATTCAGGGAGGTCTCCAGACTTGAGCAGAAACTTTCCCATGTGGGATTATCTCATAGCATATTGCACCACTTTCTGGCCCCAATACTGGGTAATTTTAAATAACTTACGTGTAGGTCATATCCTTCTATATGTAATAAACTGTCCCAATACAGAAAATAAACACATTGCCTTCACTTTTCTGTCACCTCACAACCTTAAGGCACCGTTTCCAGCTATGATAATCAAATAATCTAATACAATACATTGCCACATAAAGATTCTTAATTGGGTCCAGCCTGCAGTGTGGAGGTTGGGGTTGCTGAATTCCACATGGATGACCTCACAGTTCAAATCCTGGTCCTGGTGGCTTGAGAGGCACTCCAGGCACATATACATGCATGCCCAGGGTCCTGAAAGTAGTGGGTAGTGAAGGAGAGGAGATTGCATCGTGACCATTCCCCATAGGGGGTGCTTTTTCACTTTCCCTCTCTCTCTGTCTCCAGTGAGTACATAGGACATCTGGCAAAATTTAAAAACCAGAAAAAAGATTTTTGGGGCAATTGTTGTTATGGTGGTTAAAAAGGCTAGATCCCAACTGACCTACTATATGGTTTGAGTCTAGCTTGAGAAACACACCAGGCATGTGTGCATGTGTGCCCAAAATCCTGAGAGGAACAAAGAGAAGAGATTGTGGTGTGGCCTTCCCCCCAGGATGTGGTTTCTCACTTTCCCTCTGTCTTTCTCTCTATAACAAGCACATGTGCCCTATAGCAAATTAACAAACAAACAAACAAAAAACCTTCTCATTTCAAAAATTCATAAAATTTTTGCAATTCATAAAAATGGGGCTGGTAGGTAGTATGCTGGTTAAGGTACTAGATTCCCACATAGCCAACTACAGTTTGAGTCCTGGACCTGGCAGCTTGCTTTCTCACTTTCCCTCTCTCTTTCTGTGTCCCTCTGGTCAAATTAAAAAATAATACTGGGGACCAGCAGGTGGCATGGTGGCTAAGGTGCTGGATACTCCCACACGGCCTACCACAGTTCAAGTCATAGACCTGGTGGCTTGCCTTCTCACTTTCCCTCTCTCTCTCTGCATGTATGTCTCTCTCTGGTAAAATTAAAGTAAATGAATGACTAAATAAAATTAAATAAATAATTTTTTAAAAATACTAATAAATAAAATTAAATATTTCTTAAATCAAAAAATGAAAATGAATGGCTCCAAAACAACACACTAAATTAACTATAAAACAACTGTAGCACTAAGGTACGTAACTTGCATTGGGATACAGAATTCAATACCAGAGACGTTAAGCAACTCAATCCACATGGAATTTATAAAATGGATTATTTTTTTTTCTGTTTTAGAGAGGTTTTTGCAATAGGGCGCGTGCGCTCGCCAGAAAGAGACACAGAGGGACAGAAAGCAAGAAATTGCCCCTCGGGGGGATGGTCATGCTGCAATCCCTTCTCCTACATTCTCCTCTTGGGATCTGGGGCACACACGCGCATGTACCAAGCATGAGTTTAAGACACCTGGTTCAAGACTCGAACCCCGGTCGACTACATGGGAGTCTAGCAACATAGCCATTACGCTAACTGCTGGTCCCTATAAAATGGATTCTATAAAATAGTCAATATGTCTAAAGCTGTCACTTTTACCCAAAAAGGAATAGGATTTTCGCATTTTATTTATCATTGGGAAAATTGAGACAGTACTAACAACCACCTATACCCAACATTCTAAGGGACAACTAAACATTAACTACATGTGATTGGATTAAGAAAATATAGCAACTTGGGGCCAACTGGTGGCATGGTTGTTAGGGATGCTGGACTCCCACATGGCTGACCCCGAGTCCCAAACCTAGCTTTCTCACTTTCTCTCTCATTCTCTCTCTCGTTCGCTCTGTCCCCCTCTGACCAAATAAATAAATAAAGTTAAATAAAATATTTTTTTAAAAAAGAACATGAAGCACCTCTATGCTAGTTTATGAAACAGAAACAAAAAAGGCATTATCACTCTAAAGTTGTCAACACTTAGTGATATTTTAATTGTAGCTGCAATGTTTGTGTCTGTGCCTGTGTGTATGACTCACTTGCAAAGGTTCTCCCAAGGCTATTGGATTTTTGAGAATGCAGAAACCATAACTGGGGCATACTGTGTGGGAAGTGTCATGACAATGAATGAATAAAAGGGGAAAAGAACTCATGATAGGATTTTTTAAAAGTTTTTATAAAAAGCAAGTCACTAACAAAGGGCAGACTTTTTCTGGAATAACAAGAAAGGTTGGGGAAAGTCACCCTGGCTCTGAGAAGCCTTTCTCGGTTTCCTTGGTTGGATTCAGTGCACTTCTTATACTATTAAATACAATACAGTTAACAATATAGTTTCCTCATTTGGTTTTCACCACACTATGAGGCAACTACAGACCAAAAGCAGTCTTGTCTTAGAATCACTAGTACCTACTTTGCAAAATGCCTGGCACACAGAGGGCCCTTAATAGATGTTTCCTAAAACAGGATAATCAATTTGATATATATCATTTACCTTTCATTTTACAAAGCACTTTCACAAATATGACCTCTTTTGATCCATATAACAATCTTATGAAGTGGGAAGGACATTATTTAACCAAATGGCTTCTGGTTTTACAAAGAATTGTTAACTGACTGACTAAAACAACCCTGAAATCATAAAAATAATCACATATTCATCTTTTAGATAGCTTCTCCTTGGGACTTCAATATTCTCATAAAACTCAAAGATTTTTCTAGGATTTTCTTTACTTGCTCTTCATAATTGATAGGAATTACACAGGTCCGAATCTAACTGAAGGGTTTAAACTGCATAAAAGATAAAGGACCTTCAAGATATCAGACATAAGCATCCTAAGCTATTTTTCCTGATCCTGTTCTTTTTGTAACTGAGAAGGGTAAGAAAATGCTGGAAAGCAAATGATGTCATGGGTGTCATGAAGTTGCATCAATATCTAATGATGATTTAGCACAACAATGCAATGTATCATGCCAAGAAACATAATGTTAAATCACCAGGATGTTTTACTGCATTAATTTCATGACTTTAATAGCAAATTGCTATGCAGACTGTCACTGTAATTTTCTAAGACAGGGAAGTTGATGGTTCAGGTGTACATCTTCAAGCAAAGGCACTAAGAAGATCTAAAATGTCAGTGGACAATGCTTTTAGAAAATGAGAAAATTTCCATATTAGCTAATATTAAACTAAACAACTGTCATTCTAACAATTAAAAGCTACCAGAAGTACACAACAAAGCCGTGGATAACTGCAGACTAAATAACAGATTTATACTGGACTTGTCAAAAGCAGTTACAGGCTATACAATGACAATACACAATAGAAAAGATATCAAGATTATGCACAGGAATACACTCAAAGTTAGAAATTTGATACAAATCATTACTCACAAGAGTTACAAACTTCATTCTAAATATTTCATTCTAAATGATGGGATTTCCTCTCAAATATTCCTTATTCCTTTAAACTCATGATGTCATCATTCCCAAGCACAAGTAAAACCAATTTCTTACAAATATTTGATGTGTCCAAGCAAAAGTAATTGCCTAACAATTCCCCATAGGACAATTCCAACTGAAGCCACATTTCTCAAGAAAGACAAGGCTTCAATCCAGCTCTCCTACGTGAAACTAATCAGTCTCCCAATTAGCATTTCAACAAGTTGTTCTCAAAAAGTGGTAACAATCACAGTACAATATAGAAAGTGACAACCAGTAACGTGTCTGAATCTTCATCTAGTTGAATCAGAATTCCATCACAGAAAACTCCAAAGACTTTGGCAATTAAGAAATGAAACTTTTATTTTTCTAATAAAAGTCAGAAGATTTAACAGACAAAGCAAGTGGTTATTCTGAATCTTGACAATCCAAAGATTTCAAACAACCCCGTTAGGGCTGGAGATACTCTGCGACTATCAAGATCTCACGATTGTTTTTTTCTTTACAAATTTGTTTCCACCTTCCACCGTTCCCTTTACACAATTTTGATCCGGAAAAGCCTTCCACAGTCACAACGTGGATTGCTTGCTGTCTAAAACAAGGAGATTCGTAATTCCCACTTTCTTGGAGGATACTCAAGCTAAGCCTATTCCAAAACGATCCTCTTGCAGCTGCATCTTTGGAAACACTGGCCCAAGACCGCAGCCCCAATTTTTGGAGGGCACCCGACTTGGGATACTCTCGCACGAAGTTAAAGGTTCAGGGGTGAGGTGAAAGGTTCTGACACCCCCAAAGCCATCTTTGCCCTGGCCACACACCCCTTCCTGGTCAAGCAAGGGGACGAGAACCGTGCTGCTGAGAAGTGGGGACGGGTTCTCTCCAATCCAAGGGCTGGCAGGAATGAGGCTCTCCTCCCCGTCTAACCCAGGGGAGACCAAGGATGACGACACCCAGGCCCTCAGAACTAGCAAGGATCCACCCCCGAGAGGGATGCAGGGCTAGCGCCAAGACCCCAGGCCCCGCTGCCTCCTGAGGGCCCCGGGCATACCCCCGCCCCCCGCCGCTGCCCCAGAAGGGGGAGAGGCCTCACCTGGCCCAGCCCGCTCCACGCTCTCGGACTCACAGCTGCCGGAACCCCGAGCTGCCCAGAGCCGCCATCTTCCTCCACTCAAGAGCCGCCGCCGCGACTGCCCTAGCCAGGAGAAGACAGCGCGGAGTGCGCATGCGCCTGGGCCCGGCGCGGTGGACGCGCGCGCACTTACGTCAGTGCGGCCGACGGCGCAGGATGGCGTGGGGCGGCCAGGGGGCGGCGCCATGTTGAGAAGGGCCTTGGTCCGCAGTCTGCCCAGAGCCGCCATCTTCCTCCACTCAAGAGCCGCCGCCGCGACTGCCCTAGCCAGGAGAAGACAGCGCGGAGTGCGCATGCGCCTGGGCCCGGCGCGGTGGACGCGCGCGCACTTACGTCAGTGCGGCCGACGGCGCAGGATGGCGTGGGGCGGCCAGGGGGCGGCGCCATGTTGAGAAGGGCCTTGGTCCGCAGTAATGCAGGAGTGGCTGGATAGCTTCCTAGCGAAGCGAAGATTCAGAGCCGAATTTACCTGTGTTCACAGAGCCGGCCCCAGAGCTGCACCCACCCTTCGCTGCACTGTGTGGGGCTTACTAGGAGGTTTTCCCAATAGCTTGAGGCAAAACCAATTTTAACCGAGAAATTAACTCATTTGTGACCCTGGGTGTCTCATAAGGACAAAGGAGGGCTGTGGTGAGGTGCCCCTGGATTTCTAGGAGCAGGAAAACTCAATGCCTTAGTTGTACAAGCGAAGCCTCCCTTAGCTGTCGCAACTACTGTTGTGAATTTATTCTTCAGATAAAGAAAGCACTGAGGTGCAAAGACAAGTGGTCCTTTGCCCAGAGCCATACACCTAGCAGTGGAGGTAGAGCAGGGCAGACAGGGTTTAGAACCCAGATGTGCCTAGTTTCCAAGTTCCCACACTTCCCAATATTGCTACCATCAGGGAATGGAGTTCAGCAAAGTAATAAATAAATAAGAGTCAGCCTGGGGAACCAGCAGTTAGCGTAATGGCTATGTCGCTGGACTCCCACGTAGTTGACCGCGGTTCGTGTCCCGGACCCTGTGGCTTAAAACTCACGCCGTGTGCGTGCGAGCCCAAGATCCCGAGAGGAGAATGGAGGAGAAGGGACTGCCGCGTGACCATCCCCCCTGGGGGGGTGATTTCTCGCTTTCTCTCTGTTTCTGTCTCTGTCTTTCTGGCGAATGCACGCGCCTTATAGCAAAAACCTCTCCAAAAATAAAGTCAGCCTACTCCTTAATGAGAACATATAGGAACCCATCCCTACCACTTGTGGTCTAAGGAGATGGCAGAGATAACAGAAATCAGGGCTTCAGTCTTCACTTCTTGTGCCTAAAACTGGAGTAGGGCTAGGCCACTGTGCCATGAGGGTAACACTACTGCTTGGGAGGTTGGAGGCTGCACCAGAGAGAGGCCCAGGTTCATTCTGGGACCAATCTGAACACAGCAGGTGCTGTGGCTTGTGGGCCTGTAATCTTTACTAATTGGGAGTATGGGTCAGAAGGAGCTCCACATGCCAGATTCTATTTAAAACATTAAAAATAGGGACCAGCAGATGGTGTGATGGTTAGGTCACTGGACTCCCAAGTAGTCGCCCACAATTTGAGTCCTGGGTCTGTGGCTTAAAACTCATCAGGTGGGACCAGCAGTTGGCGTAATGGCTATGTTGCTGGACTCCCATGTAGTCGACCGCAGTTTGAGTCCCAGACCTGGTGGCTTAAACTGATGCAGAGCATGTGTGCGTGCGTGCCCAAGATCCCGAGAGGAGAATGAAGGAGAAGGGATTAAGGTGTGGCCATGCCCCCGGGGGATGATTTCTCGCTTTCTGTCTCTTGTCTCTCTCTTTCTGGCAAGCGCACGCACCCTATAGCAAAAACCTGTCAAAAAAAAAAAGATTATTTTTTGTCTTCTGGTCAGTCTTTTCCTTTGAACCAGTTGCTTAGGCGTGTGTGTGTACATGCCCAAAATCCCCAGAGGAGAATGGGAGAGAAGAAATTGTACTGTGGCCATCCCCCCTAGAGGGAGATTTTTTTCCTTTCTGTATGTCTATCCTGTGAGTGAACATGCCCTATAGCAGAAATCTCTTTTTAAAAAGTTTTAATAAATAAATTTCTCTCTCATTAAAATAATAATGATACTGTTTCTGTCTGCCTCTCAAAGAAAAATAAATAAATAAATAAACATATTGACACAACCTTGAGCTGCCAGCAGATTGCCCTGGGATAAAGTGGACCTCCTAGGATATTTCACAACACATAGAGTTAGAAGTCAAATCCCCTCTCCAGGATGGCATGGCCTTAATGAGTAGACTTGGGCCAGTTCACTCTAGAAAGCACTGTGATCCTCAAACTTGACTAATGCAAAGACCCATGAAAATACACTCATGGAATCCCAGTGTAAGAAATACTGATGGGCTATTTTCACTGCATCCACTGCAAGGATGAAGACCATTCACAGCTATCAGACCCTCGACATTCCAGAGAATGTCAACCTCTCTCTGAAGGATGCACAGTTACTATGAAGCCCCAGAGGAACCCTGTAGAGGGACTTCAATCACAAAGATGTAGAGTTCAGTCTATTTGAAAAGAAAAAGAAGAGCTGCGAGTTGACAAATGGTGGGGAAACAAAGGATCTGGCTACCGTTCACACTGTCTGTAGTCACGGACAGAACATGATCAAGGGTGTTACACTGGGCTTCCGCTACGAGATGAGCTCTGTGTACGCTCACTTTCTCATCAACATTCAGGAGAACGGGTCTCTTATTGAAATCCGAAATTTCTTAAGTGAAAAATACATCCAGAGGGTTCGAATGTGACCAGGTGTTGCTTGTTCAGTATCTCAAGCCCACAAAGATGAGTTGATCCTTGAAGGCAATGATATTGAACTTGTTTCACATTCAGTTGTTTTGATTCAGCAAGCTGTGACAGTTAAAAATAAGGGTATAGGGGCAGGCAGGTGGCGTGGTGGTTAAGGGCACTGGACACCCACATGGCTAACCATTCTAGTCCTGGACCTGGTGGCTTGCTTTCTTACCCCCTCACCCCACTGTCCCTTTCTGGTTAAATTAAATTTAATTAATTAATTAATTAAGTGAAATAAATAAATAAATAAATAAAGTAAAATCATTCTTTTTTTTAAAGAATTATTTTATTTAACTTTATTTATTATTATATCATTATTTTTCAGTTTGATCAAAGAGAGACAGAGAGAGAGAGAGGTAGTGAGAAAGCAAGCCACCAGGTCCGAGACTTGAACCGTGGTCAGCCATGTGGGAGTCCAGTGCCTTTAACCACTACGCCACTTGCCGGCCCTATCCTTACATTTTTTTTAAAAGAATGATTTTACTGGGGCTGGCAAGTGGCATGGTGGTTAAAGGCACTGGACTCCCACATGCCCGACCACGGTTCAAGTCTCAAACCTGGTGGCTTGCTTTCTCACTTCCTCTCTCTCTCTCTGTGTCTCTCTGATCAAACTGGAAAATAATAATGATAATAATAAATAAAGTTAAAT